CTGAAGGAAACCTTTCTCACATCTTTTTAGTAAAGACACCTTGTTCACTGACCAAGTAGGACAGCCATTTGTTAGCTCTTATGTTAAGAACCTCTTCTGTGTCCCTTTTTTTTAACTTCATGTTTCCAGTTATATACTTACTGGTAAGTTTTACCTCACAAATGGTTTTTATTTTGTCTCTCCACTGAGGTACGCTTCCTGATCACCAACATCTAGAGTACAGTAGCTACTCAGATCCCAGCACTGTTGCCAAATGTTGCAAACGTCTCTCTCGTGGGTGTACTTTTCTTATTATACTTTTGTTCTTTAAAATTTTGTTCTTTAAAATCCTATTAACAATGGGAGTTCTGTGTGGGATCTCTATTTGTTTTACTACCACCATCCTTTCCTGGTTGTGAAATTCTTTTCTTTTTCTCCTTTATTTTATTAAGATAATGTTTTTGAAGGCAATATAACTAGGTGGAACATGGATGATGATATAGGCAGCACAGTCACTTGATTAACATTTAAACAATGGAACTAGTAGCCATTTACTGGATAATTTTAAACAGTTTATAAACAGGTCCCTCCTTCTGGAATATAAAATGGAGGAAATGTCCTCCATTGCTATGCTTTGATCGGCAGTTCCACCAGCCAATCATAACATTTGGCAGTAGCCTACAACCCACCTGTTCAAAATAATGTCACAGGTGGGTCTTTTACATTAATATTATTATTATTTTAGATCACATTACCCCCTCAAGTCCTGCTGTGCTGCTCATTGTGGCCAGTGGCAAAGGGGTAGGAAGATGTCCCTGGGAGGGATGTGAAGAATGTTGGGACTGTATGCCAAGAGTATATATTCCCAGCAGGGTCACCCCAGGTGTGAAGATCAACCCAGCTGCCTAGCTAAAGCAAGCAGGCACCTACATCAGGCAGCAGCAATATGGAAAGATGCTTGAGGCAGATTTTTATTTTAGTGACAATGGCAAAGGCATCATTTCGTACTGCATGGGAGAAGGCAATGATAAGCCACTCCTGTATTTCACCAATAAAATAACCTAGATATACAATATAAAGTGTTTCAAGTTATAGTGCCAGAAGATGCCACTTCAGGTCAGATGGCAATCAACATACTATTGAGGAATAGCTGAGGATCTTTTGGAGTACTAATGGTGTTTATGACATGTCGAGATTAAAGCCTTTTATACATCTAGCTGCTGATACTGCCATGCAGGAAAAGAAAATCTGAAGCTGCAAAGACAGAATTACAATGGAACATGGAATATAAGCATGAATTGTGGGAAAGCTCAACACACTGAAAGATGAGTTGAATAAATGACACATTGACATCTTAGGAATCAGTGAACATAAATGGACTGGAATTGGACCCTTTCAGTGAGAAGATCATACTGTTCACGATTCAGAATACAAAAAAACAAAGGAATTGTGTTGTTTTCATAGTCAGGAAGAATATGGTGAAGACAGTACTTGGGTACAGTGCAGTTAATGATCAAATAATATAAATCAGAATACACAGAAATCAAATTGACAATATTATTGGTACAAGGAGATAGAAGAGCTCAGTTATCACAGATCTGGCCAAGGGCTGACTGTGGAACAGATCACATAGTCTCATATGCAAAATCAACAATTTCCAAATCAAGCTAAAGCAGAAGAAGAAAGCCAGCCAGTTTTCATGATTTCATCTTGAACATATACTCACCTTTTTCAAGGATAAGATCAGGGATCACCTTGAAGTCCTGAACCTCATTGATAGGGACAAGAGGAAGTGTGGAATGAAATTAAAGAAGTTGTTAAGGTTGAATGTGAAAAGAGGCTGCCACTGATCAAGAAACAGAAGAAAGCAAACTTTAATTGCTAAAGAAAAATTGATGAATTTTGCCAAGAAAAAAGAAGCCAAAGCAAAAAAAGACAAAGATCTCAAGAATTAACAAAGAATTTTAAAGAGCTGTTAGAAGAGATAAGAAGCAGCATTACAATGATATCTGTAAAGATACTGAAGACGGAAACAGATATACAAGGAAATTTTCTTCCAAAAGATCGCTGGATTCTAAACTAACCTTGCATTGGTATATCTGGTATAAGATAGTAACTGATTCAAAGAAAATAAAAAAAATATGGAAGTACTGAAATTCTGTATGGAAGGGATGTCAACATCCAAAATACCTTAGAAGATATTCTACACTCATAAGAACCTCTAGAAATACCTTAGAAAATGTACTATGCTCACAAGAACCTCTAGTACTAGAATATGAAGTTAGATCAGCACTCTGGTTATAAATAAGTTGGAAGACTAGAGGAATTGATGGAATATCTATAGAAATATGGCAAGCAATAGAAGAAAAATCAGTAAAGGTTCTGACCAAGATATGCCAGCAAATCTGGAAAAAAACATAGCAGCCAAAAGACTGGAATATGATTGTCTATATACCAATACCAAAGAAAGACACTTGACAGACTATATAAACTGTCATATAATATCCTTAATTTTACATGCCATCATAATAATGCATAGGATCATTCCATAAAGATTAGAACCCTACATGGAAAGGGAGATGCCAGATGTTCAAGGTGGCTTTAGAAGAAGCTGGGGAACAAGACACATTATTGCTGATGCATGCTGGATAATTGACAAAGCCAAAGAATACCAAAGGAAGTCATTATGTGCTTCATTGATTACAGAAGGGCCTTCGATTGTGTCAGTCGTGTTAAACTGTAGAATGTACTTAGGAAAATGAGAATCCCACAACATCTCATTATCTTAATGCAAAACCTGTACACAGGTCAGGAAGTCATAGTCCAGACAAAACAGCAAAACAGACTGGCTCCAAGTTGGCAAATGAATGAGACAAGGCTTTCTACTCTTCCTTATTTATTCAACCTATATGCTGAATATATATTACAAGGACCTGGATTGGAAGAAGATGAGTGTGATTTTAAAATTGCAGGAAGGAAATCAATAACCTGTGCTATGCTGATGACACTATTCTGATAGTTGAAAATGCAAATGATTTGGAATGAAATCAAATGAAAGTCTAGAGATCCTTCTAGAAGTACAGTACTAAAAACTCTAGTGATGAAAGACAACAGTGTAAATATAAGACCAAATTAATAACAACATGCACAACAACTACCCTTAGAGCCGACAATGAAAATATTGAAGTGGTGGGTAGCTTTTTGCTTTTAGGATTCACTATCAACAGTAAAGAAACTAGCAGTCAAGAAATACACCATAGATAAGCATTTGGAAAAGCAGCAATGAAGGGCTTGGAAAAGATACAGTATTCAGTTGCCACGATTGTCTATACAGGTACCTACAAAAATCAGAATTATATAGGCAATGGCTTTCCTGTAACACTCTATGGAAACAAAAATTCTCTGAAGAAGCAGGACAGATAGACTATAGATTTTTTTAAACTTTGCTCTTGGAGAAGACTTCTGAAAATATCCTAAATAGCCAACAGAATTAAAAAATGGATCAGAACAAATCAATCCACAATTCTCACTGGAGGCACAAATGACCAAGCTCAGACTATAATATTTTGGAAACATGATGTGAAGACCTAGATCTCTTAAAATATCTATATTACCAGGATGGGTGGAAGGAAAGATAAAAAGAAGACGACCAGTGAATTGGAAGGACTTGATTATAGCAGTGATGGTTCCTATAATTGCTGCACTACTATAATTATTTAATAGACAGTAAGTAATCCTTTACATTTTTTCCTGTAAAATATATTTCCTTTTAGTCTGCAGCTTATGGACATTTCATGGGTGGAAGGAAAGATAAAAAGAAGACGACCAGTGAATTGGAAGGACTTGATTATAGCAGTGATGGTTCCTATAATTGCTGCACTACTATAATTATTTAATAGACAGTAAGTAATCCTTTACATTGCACTCTGATGAAATATGGTTGCTGAAAGGCAAATGAAATTTGTTTTTTTTAGACTTCCCAATACTGAAAAGCAGTAGTCACATGTAACAAAACTCAGTACTCAAAATCTCCCTTTTAATATGTATTCTTTTTTATTTTCCTGTAAAATATATTTCCTTTTAGTCTGCAGCTTATGGACATTTCATGGGTGGAAGGAAAGATAAAAAGAAGATGACCAGTGAATTGGAAGGACTTGATTATAGCAGTGATAGTTCCTATAATTGCTGCACTACTATAATTATTTAATAGACAGTAAGTAATCCTTTACATTGCACTCTGATGAAATATGGTTGCTGAAAGGCAAATGAAATTTGTTTTTTTTGATAGTTCCTATAATTGCTGCACTACTATAATTATTTAATAGACAGTAAGTAATCCTTTACATTGCACTCTGATGAAAAACAGTCTTTTTATTTTCCTGTAAAATATATTTCCTTTTGGTCTGCAGCTTATGGACAATACATTGCATGAAAAACAGGGCTTATGAAAATGCAAAGGATTGAGGTGTTCGCATCATAGCTTGCATTTTTAGTGCAGATTTGAGATCATCTCAGAGTATCTATTGGTTGTGCTTGTTATCACATGCTCAATTATAGTTAACTTATCCATGGTTTATTCACTCATCTACTAAACCATCAACTAACTACACTGGTTGGGTTTTCTAGACTAACGTGTGGTTGGCTAGTTTGATTCCGTGTGCATCACAACGAGAGAAAAATAAAGAGATTGTAGCCCATGTTTTAAAAGCCTGATTAACGATAAAAAAAAAAAACAGTATAGCTCCTTTGAAGAAGAACCTCCCTCAACCATTTATTTCTGAGGATAAATTTGCGTTCGCTACTAAATTACGCAGTTCCCCATGCAAAAACAACACGTTTTAGTTGCTTCCTTTTCTGAAATAACCCCACAGGCGCCCTTCCAACAAAAAAAAAAAAGAGAGAGAGGAAAACAGGGCGAGCATGCGCCAAAGAATTGGAAGAGAAAATGACGGGGCGGGGCCAAAGGGCGGGCATAGGCGGCTCAGATTCCAAGTGGGGGGCGTGGCTCTTTACTTGGCGTTGGAAGCGCCTGCTGCTGCAGCACAGGCAACAGGTGCGCGTAGCTGAGAGGTCTGTAGAGCGGCCGCCGTTGTTGAGAGGTCGAGGTAGATGGAAAGGAATTACGTTTTGCTTATCTTGTTGGCATGCGCGACCCGCATTTTTCTTTTGGCTGGGATGCTGTAATCTTGCTTTTGAAAAAAAAGTAATTCGTATCCCCCTAGGATTAAGGAATCTGTAGTGTGGTGTGTATAATAGATCCGTTCTAGGGAATGGGTAGCTGCTCTCCCGTAGTTGCTTCCTGTTCCTGAAATAAAGTTATAGGTTAAATAGTGAAATACCATCCTCTCTCCTTCCTTTAATCCCTTCCTTCCTTTGGATGGGAGAAGAAAGAGCTGAGTACTACCAAAGAAAGCCTTGAATGTTTTAATTCGGGGGCGGGGGGGGGGCTTTGTATGATACTGTTAAAAGAATGTAATTTATTGAGTGGACCTAGTTGTCTGTAGAGAACTGGCCGTGGGTGTTCTCTGACTGCTCAGATGCTTTAAATAAACAAATAGGTAGTAACAGGAATTTAGCAGGTTAAACAGCAAGGGGTCTGGAGGCTCAGTTTGTAGGCACGTGTGTCTTGTGTGTGTGTGTATTGTGTTTCTGGCTTAGAACACTGTTCTTTTGGTTTTTCTCAGAAGGGGATTCTTTTTTCAGCCTTTAGGATATTATTAGTCTGTATAGTTCTTTGTTATAATTTCTCATTGAGAATGGTAAAAATATCAACGGTGTGGTGCAGTTGTGTATAAATAACTAGACTGTTAAATAATGGTACCTTTAGTGATACCACTGCTGTACTCCTTGATGCTAAAGGGATGATTAGAGATCATTCATCATATTAATGCTTTTAAGGGATTCTTATTGGATATGTGAAGCCTATTTTCCTGTCCATTCCTTGGTCATCAACTTTTGGTTTAAAAAGGATTTTTGTAAGTTTCTACACGTTTTTGTTATGTAAATCTTTAGGAAGAGGAAGTAATAATGGGCTTGTCAGTCTTCCATATTGCCATTCATTATGTAGACTTTGATCTTGCCTTGTGGTTAGCAGTTTGAGAATGCCAGATATAGTTCTTATGGACTTCATTTTCTCAATATTAAACTATTTTGTGCTCAATATGCTGCAGAGGTCTACATAGAGTTTTAAGTTTTTAAGATCTTGAATCTGTTGGGACAAGCAGTCATTGAGTTTTATAAAAGACAACCTACCTAGTTGTCTTTCAGCATTTTTCCAGAGCTTACTATCTCAAATTATCCTGACATTAGGCTAACTTTCCCCAATGTATTGCCTTCCAGATGCATTGGCACTGTAGTTCCTAGATTACTGAGCATGCTGGCTGTGATCCTTGGGAGGAGTTGCCCCAACATAACTGCAAGGATATTGTATGAAGATATTCTACTAGGAAAGATTGCCCTAGAAATTTTTGTGGTATCTTTTATGTAGGCTTAGTATAGTACAGGGTTGTTGGCCTATTGCTTCTAGTGCCGCCCTCTTAGTGAAGTGGTGATCACGTCTCTCTTTGGCTAATAGTAATCAAATAAGTGTTCTGCTTTCTTATTCCATCAATATAGTACTAACTGGTGGAATACTTACAAGGAAGCAAGTTAGCAAAAGTCTTTCTTGATAAACCAATATTTATTTTTATTTATTGGATTTGTTAAGGCAGCCCAAATACAAGAAGATTGTAAAATAAAATCTATTTGAGAATTGCCATGATGTCTGAAAAAGAGTAGAATTGCTTGATGCTGTAAATGTGTTGCTTGTTCCAGCATAAACTGGATTCTTAACCAAAGGGGGCTGAGAAAAGGTAGAAAAAGGACTGACTTATACATTTGTCTACAACACCTGTCTGGAGGCTATTCTATGGCTTGTTAAATTCAGGGTGTGCCTTTAAAATTTAAAAATTTCTTCTGACCAATTTATGCCCTTGACTCACCTCTCTCCTTGAACATGAATTCTCTTTAGGCTGCATAGTGCAAATGAGGGAGTGGTTGCTAATATCCAAAGTGGATTTTTTTTTTTTTGGTCCATAAAGAGAAAATCTTCAGAGTAATGTTTGTTAATTGATAGTGGCTCAAAATACAAAGGGCTACCTCTGACCTGAAATCTTCAATATATCCTAATTAATATTGGTATGTGTGTGTGTATGTAAACATTGTGACATAGTATAGTTACTGGCTGTAGTACAAAGTTACAGTATACTTCAGTAGCGGTGTCATTCACACATCACATTAAGCCATAATATGCTTTGCTTTGATTTATCATGATGGGTGAACCCAATGATTATGTTTAAATCAGGCTACCTGGGTTCTTCAACACACTGGGGATAATCCCTCCCCACCCACCCCTTGGTCAGTTGTCTTTGCTTAATGTTCCAAATCTGAGTCTTATCCCAAATTTCAAAATTGTTACATAAGCTGTTTTTTTGTTAGCTTGAAATTGATGTTTTGTTGATGATATCTGGATATAACCAGGGCTTATTTATGGTTTGTGTTAACCATTGTTTGTAAACATACCATAGTGTGGGTCACATATTGTGCTAGTTATAAAGCATGGTCTGCAAAGTACAAAAGGTGGCTTTATACAATATACTAAGCAAAATCCAAAGAAACTGCACTGTGGCTTAGTTGGACAAGTATGTCACTTTGTTCACATATTACCTTAAACCATGGTTAGTTACCATGTTTTTAGTAACTATAAATTGATTGTACAACAGCATACAGTAAGCCATAAACCATGGTTTTATAAGTCTGAATTCACACAAAATGGTGAGCCACACACAAAACTGTCTTTGCTTAGCAAAAAAATGTCAACTCAAGCTCTATATCATAATCACTTTAAAATTGTTGTTGTGAAAGCAACCTGTCCAGAAAAAAATGAAGTTTAATGAGAGACTCAATCCTCATATGGACCAAGTGCTGAAATTGTCTCTAGTTAGCAAAGGATTTAAGCCTATTAGGAGCAGAAGCAGGTAATTGTACTATTGCAGATGTCTCTAATTTGTGCCATAAATATTGCTGCTGGAAACAAGAAGCCCTTTTATTAAGAGTGTTAAATGACCTCCTTGTATCCAAACATGAATCTTCAGATTCAGTAGTGATCTGTTATCAGCTATTTTGCCAAATCCGAATAGCAAATGTCTTTTTACTCTTTTGATTTACTTGAATTAAATGTTCTATTATCTGGAATAGGGGATTTTGGATAAATTGATATACAGTATTATCATTGTGCACTGCACAGCCGCTAGGAACAGCCTCTGGAAGAAAGGACGCTTAAAGAGTGCTGCATCACCTATAGTTAAGTTTCCTAAACCTGGGACTTTCTGGATTTGTTGGGAATACACTCCCAGAATTAGCAGCCAGCATTCCCGTGCTTATGTGGAATGCTGGAAAGTACAACCCTAATAAATCTACAGGGCGCTAGATTCAAGAAGGTTGTTTAAACTACTATATGCAACACCCTCGCTTTGTTAGATGCACCACTGGAGTAATCTGGTGGTATAGTTTTTAAAAGTCTAGGTTTTAAAAAACAAACATCATGTCATGCCAAGTATATACTAGTTGAGAATTGTTTTTGTAAGGGGCAAGTCTGATGTTGGTTTTCTCCATTTCCTTTTGGAATGATTGCAAGGGAGTAATCATACATGAATTGCTGCAGGCAGTTAGCAAGTCATGGTTATAGTGTTAGGCCATTTGCCTGTGGCACTCTTGATTGACCATTCCAATATACCAGATAGATATTTATGGGTGATTTTTCTCTCTCTTTAGTACCTTAAAGATATAAGTATTTTTCACAGCTATTGAACTGGCCTTTAAGCTGTCATACTTTTAGTCTTTTCGCTAAAAAGAGCAATTTTATTCTTTTTAAGAAGTGATGTTGATACAGAGATTTGTGGTCATCACTCCATAATTCATGACTGAATACTGTTGACAGTTCATTGAGATCTCTTGGAATGTTGATATATGATGATAGAATGTTATGTTTGACTTGGACATATTAGTGAATGAATGGCCCTTAAAATTATGGGAAGGCTTTGGCTTCATTTGGGAAAGTAAAGAATTAGTACATTTTCAGTTTTAACTATCTCACAGAAGCCTGAACTTGTATAGAGATTTTGAAAAGGAAGTCCTCTCACGGTAAAGAAAGTGTTGAGGAAAACACCTTTACTTGGCACCTTGAGTGAATTTCTGAGGGAAATATATTTATAGAAATATAGCTTTGTAAGCTGCCAGTCTTATGATTAGCTTTGTATTTTCTGTCACTTATATGCATTTCAGTAAATTATTCCTGAAAACAGTTCTATAAGAGGTAAGAAAAGTGGATGTTGAGAAAAAAGTAGCTCAGAAAGAAAAAGGTAATCAATTAAACATTATTCTGAAGCCATTATTATAGTAATGCATGTTCTGTTTTATTGCAAAAACTTATTGGTTTTGGCTTAATGTTTTCTATGAACCCTACTATTATGGTTGTTAAACAGTGGTTCATAAAGCATAGACTGTTGATTGTACATGGACTCATCCATGATTTATTCAGTATTTTATGATTAAATTAACTATGGCCTACATAATTGGCATACCTAGGCTCAATATTTTATCTTAATAAAATAAGAGTAATGTTGTTGAAAAGTTTTAATTGTTTTTGTTTATGTGGTCTTGATAAAGAGTGGGACCTAGAGCTATAGAATTCTTCTGTGTTTTATGATTGTGACTCTTAACTCCCAAAGCTATTTTATTTAATTGCTGCATAACAATTGCTCATTTTTTTCTTGTTAAGTTCCAAAGTGTCTCTTCAGTTTGTTGTAGGTTAAATTTGTCTTCATTCTAGAGCTCAATAAGATGAAATAATATATTTGCCTTTTTTTGTTTTCATTCCTACTTTGGGTAGTCTGTGGTTACAATGGGTAGTCAAAACCCCACTCCCTTCTAGCACTGAAGTTGTTACCTAGATGGGTAATGAAACGTCTGCAAGAAAATAGCCAAGCTCGGAGAACCCCGAGGACTCCACATTCCTACTTTCTACAAATTTAGTATTCTGTAAACACTACTATAATTCTTTTATCAT